ATTGTGATTCGCCAATTTTGAAATTCGCGCCTATATTTCCATGTCAAATGATCTTTATGTAAAATAAAATCTATGACAACTGAATTTTATGTCAAATGAGAATTATGTGTAATGAGTTATGCGTCAAATGAAATTTATATCAAGTGAACTTTATGTCAAATGAAAATTATGTTAAATGGGATTTATACCAAATGAAATTTATGTCAAGTAAATTTTATGCCAAATGAGAATTATGTTAAATGGAATTTATGCTGAATGAAATTTATATAAATTTAATTTTACGTTAAATAATAATTATGTTAAATGATATTCACGTTAAATGAAATTTATGTCAAGCTAATTTTATGTCAAATGAGAATTACGTTAAATGACATTTATGCCAAATGAAATTGATGTCAAATGAATTTTATAACAAATAAAATTTACGTTAAATGAATTTTATGTCAAAAGAAATTTATGTTAAATGATTTTTATGTCAATAGAAATTTATGTTACATAATTTTTATGTCAAATGGGAATTAAGTTATCTAAGTTTTATGTAACATAATATTTCTGTTTAATGAATTCTATGACAAATGATATTTATGTTGAATGGTTTTTGTGTACAATGAAATTTATGTCAAATAATGTGCATATTATGTAAATTTTAAGTTAAGTAGTTTTATATCAAATACCTATTTGGTCAAAAAAGATTTCGGGAATAAGCATGCGTCTCGCCAAGAAGGATAAAAAAACTTCCTTCTTCAGTTAATTGCAAAATTGTTGAAAGCGCCAAAAAAGACAAATTTTTAAGGCAAAAACTCGGTTTTTTTCAAACACTAGCAAGCGATATGAATCCGTTTCTAGTCAAGTTTCAATCCGATTCACCACTTGCTTTATTCTTATATATGAAGAATTAGTTATTTTAATGAAAAATTTAATGTGCAGACTTGTAAAACCTGAGATTTTGGACTCTACTTCAGATATAAGAAAAGTCGACTTATCCGATGAAAAGAATTTATTTACTGTCAGGGAAAATCAACAAATAGTCAGGGAAAAGTCAGGTTATTTGGAAACTAAAATTTGGCGGTCACCCTGCTTAAAAATGTTCAGCGAATATTTTCGGGACATACTACACACTTTGCGAAAATGCAGGAAAAGAAAAGTGACTTTTTGAAATTCCTGACTGTTCCTAACCACTTAGAGAAGAAGTGGATGATAAGATACATGATGCTGGGGATTGATGGTTGGATAAAGGAGGGAGTGAAGCGTGAGAAAATAAGTGGATGGTGTACGACGGATGTATTGGTAGAAGGGTGAAAGTGCAGAGGTAGTTTGAGAGGACGAAGCCAGAATATGTACAAAGGAAACTGTAAACGAGAAGAAGCCCTGGCACAGACGAATTTTAATTCCAATTGAGGGGCCGGATCGAAGAACCGACGCAGTTCAAATGCAGTCCATTTGATTTTAATGATCTATGTCTGGTTCTTGCATTAAGGAATTCAATTATGATTAGCTAGAGGAATTTGTAACTTGAGTAAGGAATTTTGTATTTCAAACTTGTCTGATTCTACTTGAAAAAATCGAAAACTTCTTCGGTCAGGACGAGTAAATAAATACGTAATTTTTTAATGATTTCCCATTAATGAGACTTTCGACTATACATATTGTCTTTCTCTGAACAAATAACGCAAGTTGTAAATTCAGCATCGAAAACCCTATATTTAATAGCGTCAACCGAGTACTTTAGAAAAGTATCTACAATAATTGTTTTTCATTGATTCTATATTTTCAAAAATATAATGACGAACTAAAAAAAAATACAAAACTACTTTTTTTAAATCCGACAAAATATATCCGCAACAGAGGTGCGACTAGTTTGAATTATGAGGAAGTTTTCATTTTCGTGCAATAATCCAAAAAAAAAATCCTAACCACAGCTTTATTGCTATGGAAATTTCTAAATTCTCAAATTAAAAAAGGTTGCCACAGGTTCAGAAATTCAGGGAAAAGTCAGGAAAAGCAGAATTTGTCAGGAAATTCTGGGAAAATTCAGGGACTTTTAAAGGAAAAAATTTAATTTTTAGAATTTATAAGAAAATTCTGAATTTTTGCTCTCCTCATAAACTATAAAATTGCCACGAATTCTAAAAAAACCTTCAATTTTTTCTATTTCTGACAATAATTTCTTTTTAAATAAATTAATTCTTGAAGAACCATCATAAAATTATTAATTATAAATTATTTAATGAAAAATTTTACTTAAATATTTCCAAGTTAATTGAATTTTAAAAGAGTTGCGTTTACAATTTTCATGAACAGATGAACTTCAAATTTCATTTTTTTTTCAAAAAATTTCATTTGAAATTTTTTAAAATTTCAATTTTTAATGAATTTTATTAGAAACTTTAAATAACTTAGATTATTGAAAAATTTTAATAATTCAAATTTTTCTGAAATTAGTTAAATTTGTCAATATATATGTTTAATTAATTGTTAAAGATAATAAATTTTTAAGGGAATTTTAATTGAAAACACTTGAAAATTGAAATTCTGGAGAAGTTACAAATTATTGCAGAAATACAATTATTTTCAAAAGTAATAAAATTCGTCGCAGAAATTCAATTATGTTAAGAAATTTAAAAAAAATTATCGTCAAAATTTCAATTATTTTTAAAAATAATAAAATTCTTCTCTGAAATTCAAGTATTTTCAAAAATTTTCCTTAATTTAATGATTTTCAATATCTACTGTTCTAATAAAGTTTTCCTAAAGAATTCAATTCTTTACAAAAAATTTTAATACAATTTTACGCAAATATTTATTTTGATAAATAATAAAAATTTCACAAGAATTCAATAATTTATAAATTTTTTATAAAATTTCTTCACAATAATTCAATTATTTTCATAAATAATAAAATTTTTTACAGGGATTCAATTATTTTCTTAAATAATAAAATTCTTGTTAGGAATTGAATTATTATCAAAAGTAATAAAACTCATCGCAGAATTTCAATTATTCTTAATACAATTTTAAATTAATTAATCGAAAAATTCAATTATTTTAAATAAAATTTTCATAATTATTTATTTATATTTCAAAAAAAAAATAATTATTTAAAACAATGTTTATAACATTATTACAAAGAATTTAATTGTTTTCAAAAATAACAAAATTTTACCCAGAAATTCAATTCTATTTAAACATTTTTATAAAATTTTTAGCAATAATTCAATTATTTTCATAAATAATAAACTTTTTCTCTCGAATTCAATTATTTTTGGAAATTTTAATAAAATTTTTTACAACTATTCAATTATTTTCATAAATAATAAAATTCTTCGAAGAAGTTCAATTATTGTTAATACTATTTTAAATTAATTAATCGAAAAATTCATTTATTTTCATAAATAAAGTTTTCCACAAGAATTCAATTATTTTAAATAAAATTTTCATAATATTTATTTATATTTCAAAAATAACAAAATTTTACACAGAAATTAAATTCTTTTTAAACATTTTAATACAATTTTTTCCAATAATTCAATTATTTTTATAAATAATAAAATTTTTCTTTGGAATTCAATTATTTTTGAAAATTTTAATATGGTTCTTTGCAACTATTCAATTATTTTCATAAATAATATAAATTCTGCTCAGGAATTATTTAATACAATTTTACAGGAATTACTCGAGAAATGTAATTTATTCTTAAAAATTTAATTTCAATTCTTCGAAAAAATCAATTATTTAAAACAATGTTTTTTAAAATTCTTCTATAGAATTTAATTATTTTCAAATATTTTAATAAAATTGTTCGAAAAAAATCAATTATTTTAAATAAAATTTTAATTAGATTTTTTTTAAATAATTCAATTATTCTTTTAGATTTTAATACAATTCTTCCCAATAATTCAATTAAAGAATTAATGAATTTAACATACATAATATACATTACATAAATAAATAATTCCTCAAAAGAATTTAATTATTAAAAAATTTGTTAATAAAATTCTTTATTAAAATTAGATTTTAAGAAAAGTTTAATTATTTAATAAATTATTTTTTTTTGTATTTTAAATAATTGAATTTAAGTTGAGTTTTCTAATAAAAGTTGATTTGAAAATGAATTTTATTTAAAATTTTATATAATAATTGAATATTAAAAGCAGTCAAGTATAGTGTGAATTTTTAGAAGTAATTGAATTTTGAAAAGGTGTGAAATTAAAATCTTTTAAAATCTGAAATTTTCATAAAAATTGACAATTTTTGTAGAGTTAATTTTTTGGAAAAAGTTTAATTGATTTTTTTTAATTATATAAAGTTTTTAAAAAAAACTTTTTTTTATAATATTTTTTATAGTTTTCTTTATATAATATTATTTGATTTTGAAATTTTCGAAAATTTTAAGTTTTATGGAAAAATAATAACGATTAAATATTTATTTAAAAATGAAGTTATTGATGTTTTCGAATAATTTGACAATTAAAGAAGTTTGTAAATAAATGTAATAGAACATTTTTTTGTAGTCATTTTTGGAGTAAATCAGAATATTCTTTAGGGTCAGGGACTTGAAAATTTCTATCTCGATCGCCCTTCTAATATAATCGCTGAAGTCGCACTCTTAATATATGTCTTATATAAGCATATAAATATTCCCTAAAAATCAAACCCGACGTAGTCTAATTTTTCTCATCTAGAAAAACTTTTCAAATCGCACAATTTTCAAAATTTGACAATTATATTGACATGTGATAATGATAATAAAAATTGACGAAAAGAGAAGGAATACTTGTAGAAACGAATAGAAAAGTTAAAGGGAAAGGAATAATAAAGAGGGAGTTAAAAATAGAGAATAAGGGAATAGAAATTGAGGCGTAAAGGGAAAATAGTCCGATAGAGACAATAGTGATAATAGTGGCGAAGATTTAATTAATTAAATTTCGAAATTGCTTAAAAATAATAGTGTTACTTAAATATAGTCGAGATGTTAAAAATAATTTTATTGAATTATGCAGTCGTACACCGGGAAGTCGACAGCCATCACCAGGAGAAGAGGAGTTTCAAAAAAATGCAGCCACTCTGGCTGTGACCACTGGAGGCGGTGGTGTTGTATTGTTGAAGCCAGGTGTTGATGTTGTCGGTAATGAAGAACACTTTATGGCAGCATTCGCACCTGCCCCGCCTCATCATTTGCAACATCATCAGGCTCCACAAACCCATCATCTTCAGCATCCACATTCACAGCTTTTCGGAGCGCAGGGACCTCCGCCACCGCAAGGTCCGCCGCCCTCTCAACAGCAACAACAGCAGCAAGGTCCTCCACAACCCCAAGACAACACCACCCACTTTGATGTACAGGTAAGAGAAAATCCATCCCAGTACCTATTCATTCACCATTTTTTTACAATTTTGGAGTTTAGCAAAATCACATCATCCGCAAAAATCATTAAAGTTTAAATATATTCTTAAAGTTAGTGACCGTGTATTATTTTAATATTTTTGAATAAAAGGCTTTAAACTTTATCTGACTGCAGGGTTGCCACAAGTCTGAAAATTCAGGGAAAAGTCAGGAATAAAAAAATTAAATTATTATTATTATTATTATTATTTAATTTAAAAAAATTAAAAGTGCTGGAAAAAAATTAAATGTTTAGAATTTACAAGAAAATTCTAAATTTTGTCGTCTTTCTTGTTTGCCTCATAAACTATGAAATTACCACGAATTCTAAAAAAAACCTTAAATTGTTTTTATTTCTGACAATAATTTATTTTAAATAATTTAATTCCATTGAAGAACTGCCATAAAGTTATTTCTTATAAATAAAGTATTTTTTTTTTAAATTTTCATTTCAATTCTGTTGAAATTAGTTTAAATTTAAAAAATTTTAAAGCAATTTTTTTTAAAGAATTCTATCTTAATAAATATTAAAATTCTTTCAAAAAATTAAATTCTTTTCAAAAATTTAAAAAAAAATTCTCGTCAACATTTCAATTATCTTTAAAAAAAGCAAAATTCTTCGCCAAATTTCAATTATATGCAGGAATTTTTATAAAATTCATTGGAAAATTCAATTATTTTCATAAATAACAATATTCATCGAAAGAATTCAATTCTTTTCAAAATTAATAAAATTCTTCGGAGAAATTCAATTATTTAAAAAGAAAAACATAAAAAAAATTGTCAACATTTTAAATATGTTTATAAATAAATAGCAAAATTTTTCGACAAAATTCAATTACTTTCATAAATGATAGTATTCATCAGAAGAATTCAATTTTTTCTGAAAATAATAAAATGCAATTATTTTTAAAAATTTTAATAAAATTCATGGCAAAATTTCAATTATTTTCAACAATTTTTCTTAATTCAATTAATTTAATTTCATATGAATTTCCCAAAAGAAATTAATTATTAAACAAAAATGTTGATAATATTCTACACGAACATTCAATATTCTTTTCTACAAAAGTAAAAACTAATCAAGAATTCATTTATTTAAAATACAATTTGCATAATTTTTTTTTCTAAAAAATAAAATGTTTTAAAATTTTTGAATTGAATTCTTCGCAGTAATTCAATTATTTTCATAAATAATAAAATCATTCGGAAAAAGTCAATTATTTTCATAATAAATAACAATTATCATCACAAGAATTCAATTATTCTAAAAACTAATAAAATTCAATTTCTTTTAAAAATTTTAATAAAATTCATTGCAAAATGTCAATTATTTTTAAAAATAATAGTATTCATCACAAGAATTCAATTATTTTCATAAATAATAAAAATTATTTATTATTATTTATTTATTTATTATTTTCAAAAATAATAAATTTCTTTGCAAAAATTCAATTATTTTCAAAAAATCTAAAAAAAATTGTCAACATTTCAATTATCTAGCAAAAATCTTCGACAAAATTCAATTACTTTCAGGAATTTCATAAAACTCAATGAAAAATTCAATTATTTTTATAAATAATAGTATTCGCATCACAAGAATTACATTTTCTTTTCAAAATTAATAAAATTCAATTATTTTCAAAATTTTTTCTTAATTTAATGATTTTTAATATTCTACTATTTATAATAAACTTTCCTAAAAGAATTCAATTATTTAAAAACCATTTTGACAAAGTTTTACACAAATATTCAATTATCTTCTAAAGTTATGAAAATTCCACAGGAATTCAATTATATTTAAAATAGAATTTGCATAAATTTTTTCGAAATAAATCGATTGTTTGAAACTTTTTTATAAAATTCTTCGCAATAATTCAATTATTTTCATAAATAATAAAACTGATCGTAGAATTTCAATTATTTTTAATACAATTTTACAGGAATTGCTCAAAAAATGTAATTATTTATTTGTGTATTCAAATAATTGAATTCTTGTGGAATTTTCTAATAAAAATTGATGTAAAAATTAATTTTAATTATAATTTTAGATATTAATTGAATATTAAAAGCATTTTAAAATGAATTTTGAGAAATATTTGAATTTTGAAAAGGTTTGAAATTAAAATCTTTGAAAATTGAAAATTGTCATACTTTTAATCTAACAATTTTGTGAAATTAATTTTTTTGAAAAAATTTAATTGAATTTTTTTTGGAATTATTGAAAGTTTTTGTTTTCTAAAAAAATATTTAATTAGAGAATTTTTCAATTAATCGAAATTTCGTGAAATTGAATTGAAAAAAGAATGGATTTGAATATTCTCAAACAGCTTTTTCAAATATTATTAAAAATAATTGTATTAAGGAAGAATTTTATTTACAAATTCTAGAAAATAATTAATTATTGAATTGAAATTGAATTTTGAAGAATTGCAAATGATTGCAGAAATTTCATTATTTTCAAAAGTAATAAAATTCTTATCACAAAATTCAAATTTCAATTTCAATTCAAAGTTCAAATTTTTTTTAAATTCTCGTAAATATTTCTATTATCTTTATGAATAATAAAATTCTTTACCAAAATTCAATTATTTTCTAAAATATTCCTGAATTCAATGATATTCAATATCTACTATTTTAATTAAATTTTTCAAAAAAATTCAATTATATGAAAGAAAGTTTAATAAAATTCTACGCAAACATTTTATTATTTTCATAAATATTAAATTTTATCTCAGAATTTCAATTATTTTCATTAATAATAAAACTCATTGTAGAATTTCAATTATTTTTAATACAATTTTAATCGAATTTCTCGAAAAATGTAATTATTTTTAAAGATTTTATTAAAATTCATCGAAAGAATTCAATTATTTTAAAATTTAGAAATAATTGAATTTTGTTAAGGTTTCAAATCAAAATTTTCGAAAATGTGAATTTTTCATAATTTTAATTACAAATTCTGTGGAAAAAATTTTTGTCAAAAAGATTAATTGAAATTTTTAAAAATTATTTTAAATTTTTATTTTCTAATGTTTATTTAATTGAAGAATTTCCGAAGAACTGAAATTTCACGTAAAATTGAATTGTAAACAAATGGATTAAAAAATTCTCAAAGAAGAACTTGTTTAAAAACTATAAAAAATAGTTGATTTATAAAGAAGAATTTTATTTAAAAATTCTCGAAAATAATAATTGATATGAAATGATGATAATAATGTCGAAGAAGTTATAGTAAAAATATTCTTAGAATGTAAAATAATGATTTTATTACTTACTATTCTTTGATTATTAAAAGCTTGAAGATATTCTTATAAGTTGTTTATTTTCAAAAAGGTTTGAATTTGAATTTTTTGAAAATCTTAATTCTTATGGAAAAATAATAATTATTAAGTATTTATTTAAAAAGGAAGTTATTGATGTTTTTGAATAATTTTACTTTTGAAGAAATTTGTAAATAAATGTAATAGAACATTTTTTTGAGTATCTAATAATTTTTAGAGTGAATCGCAGAATATTCTTTAGGGTCAGGAAAAAATTAAAATTTCAGGAAAAAATGTCAGGAAAAAACAAAATTAAATTTTTGTGGCAACCCTGGTGTGATAACTACAGTCTTTAAAATTCGATCTCGCAGAGGTTTCAAGAGAACCTGAAATTCTGAAATTTCTCCAAATGGAGAAAAAGAAAAATATTTAGAAAGCGAAAAATCGCCCATAATACGCTTTCTGTAAACTACCCAACTGGCACTTACAATTAAAAGTTTAAAAAGAGATGAAAATTCTTTTATAAATAAAAATTCAGTTTTACATTCGGTACAAAATTTTACCGGTAAAATTGACTTTTACATTCGGTAAAAAATTTTACTGTAAAATTTTTTACATAATGTAGAACTTGCCATTAATTTAAAATAAAAATTTTCTAATACAACCTTATGAAAATTTTATTTGATAAAATTTCATCTAATAAATATTGCAGCTAATAATTTTTATGGGATATTTACTTGCGCGCCCCAATGAATAGAATCGAAAAATCAAGAGAAGAAGAGAAATTTACCTTTAAATAAAGTATATATGGAAAATAAAAGCAGAACAGAATATAAAGAAAAAAGAAAAAAGGAGAAAGAAAAAAAATGAAAATTGTAAATGCACGAGATTTGCTTCGTGCGCACCATCGACTATGAGTATGATCAAGAGCACATTTACAATCACGAACCTCCACGGCACGTATTATAATCAACACTATCGACTCTTCTTACGTCATATTCTATATACATTTATTGTATGGTACACACTAGATTGAACCCCTTCGAGGTATATTATTCCAGAGATTCTTTGATCAGTGCCAGCGTAATATTCTCACTATTGATTATCAGCACTGAGCGCCACATGACAAGACAAAGAAATGAAAGTAAAAGTGGAAAGTGCACTTTTTCAAGCTCTCATGTTTAAACAAGCGGAAAAGAAAAAATGACGAACAAAAATTAAATATATATATATCTCTAAAAGTATAGTGCGAAAAAGGACAATTTCAATGGTCTATTAAACTCTTAATGCTGGAAAATAGTTTTCAGGGAGAAAAAAAATTAGTTCATTCGTAAAAATAACATTTTTTCTTTGAGACATTCGCAGCCTTGCCACAGGTCAGGGAAATCAGGGAATTTAGTGAAAAGTCAGGGAAAGTAAAATTGGTCAGGGAAATCAGGGAATTTTATTTTGATGTTTTTTTTGTTTGCCTCATAAACTATAAAATTACCACGAATTTTAATACAAAACCTTCAATTTTTTCTATTTCTGACAATAATTTCTTTTTAAATAACTTAAATCTTTAACAACTATCATAAAATTATTACTTATAAATTATTTAATGAATAATTTTTACAATTTTCATAAACACTAGATTGATAGAAGAATTTTAGTTAAAACACTAAAAAAATTGAATTTTTGAAAAGTTACAAATGATT